AAACCATGAGTTGAATACTCAATCAAAATATCAAAGAAAACTACCAAAATATCCCCAGATATAAACCGTAATATCCAAGAAGAAGATTTGGAGCAGTAAGTAAAGTTTTGGGAGAAAACCAACTACTTGTAGAAATCCAAAATAATCCTGGTTTTGGAAGAAAACCAATTCCTTATAGAAATCCGGACTTTGAAGCTCGCTCAAGCGAATCTTCTCTCGCTCGAGCGAGAACCTTAACTCGCGTGATTTTCACTAATGCCTTCGCTCGAGCCACGAACCCTTCGCTCGAGCGAACAATGAGCTTTTTCAGGTTTTTGATAGACGCAATCCTTCACTCGAGCGAGGACTTCTTCGTCGAGCGAGCAAGGGCGGACAACCAATTTGAATGCAATTTTGCATTTGCTTCGGGCGTGAGCTGACCGGACAGCTCGACTCCGTCATAATCAGCGAAGTGGCAATCTTGAAAGCATTAATATCACAAACTTCTCTACAAGGCTCGATTCGGGTTGGATTCGCATCTAATAAACTCATAACCTCACTGAAATAAAAAGTACAAAAACAAATACAACTAAAAGGAGTTTTGTCAAATGGGATTGCCAAGAAAAAACCTAACAAATCTCCCCCTTTGGCAATGCCGTGACAAAAGACACCTAACAAATAAAATCCTAATCACCCCAACCATTACAGCCAACAAACGCAAACTTCTTTCTCAAGGTCATGATCTGCAAACCAGTTATTAGTGCCACAATCTCTAAAACACTATTAGTCCCACAAGAGTATATGAAAAAGCAATAGACATATGACACGATTATCTTGAAACATGAGATAGAAAACATGAATAGGTGAAAACTAAGACTCATGAAAAACAATTCTCAAACAACAAAAGCAAGATCATGAACCACACAAGTAATGCATGACGATGTAAATACTAGGAACATGCACAAAGAAAATAATTAGCAAACAATGCATAGCAACATGCAAAATAACTAGCCAATCTCCCTTACCAAACAAATCAAAGTGAACCAAACTCCCCCTCACTAAAAGCAACCACAAACACTGAAAACAGTGAACGAAAAGCAAACGACAAAAATATTATAGTGGAGCAAGTAAGGAATTTCAGATTAGTACCTTAAAACACACAAGACTATCCAAGAAGCACAATTACTAGGAAACACAATGTGCACAGTCTGTAGAAGATTCCTTATGAAAGAAAGTGATGCATTATGTGAAAAGCATAGATCCCATGATAAAAGTGTGTGTGTGACTCTTGGAGTTCGACAAACACTAGATTCAATCCTAGTAGTGATCTGAAAGCTGGATCTCTGATAAGAGAATCTAAGCACAACTAAGGAAAGTCAAACCACTAGAATCAAGGTGTATTTGGTGAGTAGAAGCGGAGGCTCCCTCTCAATCAATTAATCTTTTTTTTTTTCTTTTTTTTTACATTTTTTTTTTTTTGTTTCTTTCTTTTTCACATTTTTTTCTTTCTTTTGTACATTCATTGGCTGCTGACACGCTCAAGAGTATGGAAACTGAACCACAGAAGCATGGATATAATAAGGATAGCCTGGTTGGTGACTCTGAGGTAGCCTTTTCCTCATGGCTGGACTACAAAAATAGAGGGAAAAGCCGTGGAGATGCAAAAAGATGGAAGGTGGTTAAGAGACTCAACATCACCCATGATATGCTAGTATAGGTCAATTCCTCTAGAAAAGCAAAAGATCAATGACAGAAGTCCATAGAGAAAAAAATATCACTAAGGCGGAAGACTCCAAAATTTGCTAATCCAAGAGTGTGTACAGAATGAGACATACTAATCAAAAAACACACACTCCAAAACGAGTAATGATCACAGAAAGCACGCATATATTAACATGTAATGGATATTTTTATCAATTCCAATATGCACCAAGGACTACTCAAAAATTTCAAGCTTGCAAAACCATACTAAGAAAATCTTTTTGGGATTTTTTTTTTTTTTTTCAAAAAATAAAGCAAGACAAAAAAAATGAACAAGCACACATGTCATGATAAAAAAAACACACAGAAACCCAAAAACTAAAATGAACAAAACAAATTAACACAAGTCAAGTTTTCCCACCCAAACTGCTTTAGTACGAACAAAATTGTGAGAATTGCGGTTCTTGGGTAGTGTCTTGACGTTATGGTTCCCTTCCCTTTCAATGGGAACCTGTCTCGACATGGTTTCCAACTTCCTATTTCTAGGTTTAGGCAAATGCAAACTCACTCCCTATTTGGTCTCAAGCATATCAAAATAGCAAGGTTTATTATAACCCTTAACCTCCTTACGACCAATGAAGTGTCTCCCACCCTATAAGATGTTGGAATTTCTTCCATCTCTATGAGACACTCTCCCATACAACTTATAACAATAAGGGCAAATATGACCATGCATACCACAATTGATGACAAATAAAAAAAAGTGTACCTTCTTTTCTTTGGCCTTACTAACTCTAGGAAGTTTGAGAAGTTCACCCTCATGTTAAATTTTGTTTCCTCCCTTTCCTTGAGTTCTTGTATCATGAGATGTGGAAGCATTCTGTTTTTGCTCTTTCTTACCACCAAAGCCAATGCCACTCTTGTCAGAACAAATTTGTTGAGACCCAATGATATTGTCCAAAGTCTTTGATCCTCTGTTCCAAAGACCAATGGTAGCCATAGCACACTTGAGTTCTTCCTATTTCTTGATCATTAGTTCTTCCAAAGCAACTTGAGACATCTCGAGAGTTTTAACTTTTTCTTCATATGTTGCATAGAATTGCTGTAGCTTATTCCTCTCTGTCTCACAAGTCAAGAGTTTTGCACAAAGAGCTTGTCGATCATTAGAAATCTTAAGGGCATCATTCCTAGCCTCGAAAATCTGTTTCTTTAATTTGACATTCTCGTTTTCACATGCTTTGAGTTTCGTAGTGAGTTTGTCATTCAATTTGAATAAGTTAAGAGACTCCTTATACAACTTTTCATAAGCTTGCTCAAGCTCTTCACCATTACTCTCCGAGGATTCATCATCAGTGGCATTCTCAACCGACCTCTTCGGATACTCTGTTCGTCCTTCAGTTTCGGAAGCCGCCATGAAAGCAAGGATTGTTTATGTCCCTCTTCGCCTTGATCTTTGTTGTCACTTTCATCTTCATCAGATTCTGATTCATCATCCCAAGTAATAGCGAGGGCTTTCTTCTTCTTCGAACGAGTGGGGCATTCTGAAGCAAAGTGGCCAAATCCTTGGCATTCATAGCATTGGACTCTTTCAGAGTTCCCTTGTATCTTTCATTTCTCCTTCTTGGCTATAGAATTAATTTTGAGTTTATCTTTGCCTTTAGATTTATGAGTATGAGTAGATTCCAAAAGATTAGAATTCTTTTTCAAAAAAGATTTTTTAAATTGTTTAACAAAAGCAGCCGTTAATCTTGGAATCTATCTCATAATCCTCATCAGAATCCTCTCCAACTCTATGAGCACTACTAAAAGCAATATCTTTTTGTTTCTTTTTGAAATTCCTATGTGCCTCGTAAGTTTGGAGATTTCTAACTAACTGATCCAACTTGAGGTTGTCAACATCTTGAGCCTCCTCAATAGCTATAACTTTTTGTTGGAACCGATCGGGCAAGGATCTCAAAATTTTTCCCACAACTTTGGATTCTGGTATTTTTTTTCACTTAAATTGAAGCTGGAATTTACAATGTCACTCAACTTCGCATAAAATTCATTCAAAGGTCTCACTATCTTTCATTGAAAGGTTTTCGAAACTAGACGTGAGCCTTTGAAGTTTTGAACGTTTAACAGAATGAGGTTTCCTCATGAATAGTTTGTAAAATATCCCAAGCCTCTTTTGTGACTTCACAATTATAAATACGACTAAACTCTTCAGGTGTGACAGCCGCAAAAGAGAGAATTGATAGCTTTACTATTTCAGCTACTATTTTGGTAATCAGTGTGTTCCACTTATCAATTTGGTTTGGGGGAGAGTTACTCCATCAACGGTAATTGTTAGTTTCGGTCCACCCATTCATGACAGGTTGCCAAACTTTTCATCTATAGATTTCAAAAACGATCTCATTCGAGCTTTCCAAAAAGAATAATTGGATCCGTCAAGTAGGGATGGTCGAACCATAGAATTTCCCTCAGGAATTGAATCCATTATCACAAATCAAACAAGATTCTCGCTCTAATAGATTTGTAAAACAAAAAAAATAGAGCGACCTGCTCTGATACCAATTGAAAAATCTAGAAATCCCCTAGATGTTGATTTGTGACTATGTATCAATTTTAAGCAATATATACAATCCCAATCAAACAATCCAAGACAAATCGACACAACGATTTTACGTGAATCTTCCT